ACATAATTACAGTTCAACCCCTCTAGTTTAGTTAACTTATTTTAATCACAAAATTAATTCTTAATTAATTCTTGACCAATGTTAACTAAATAAATATGATTTCTCCTTTAATATATTATTCATATAATATATTAATAAACCATAACAACCTCTTTCTCTATTATTTCTCCAGTCAAGTCGCTTTGGTGAAGGCAACCCAAAAGAACCATGCACAACCGGGTCAAATACTTACCAAATATGGTTACGGGCTTAAACACTAATCCAACATTTGTAGATATAAAATACTTATACAGTTTAAATCATTTAAAACATGTATAAAATCATTCATCCAACATAGATAGCAAGTATACAGATAATATGCACACACGGCACGTAATTTATATAAAATACTTCATATCTATGTGTAAGATGAAACTAACCATGCATTCACCTATTAAGGCGGTGATTCCAAACTTAGACAGTGGTTCGTTACTCTTTGAAATGATTTTCTTCGTCAAAGCCTAGTATCATTACCACTAGGGTTTAGTCTATCATTCACCGAGACTAATTAATAGTCTAGCTATTATTACTATTATATAAGTGTTAAACAATACTTATATAACCCATTATATACCCCAACTACTTATTATAATTTCCTAATAACATTGCTATATTGAAACATAAGCTATACTAAAGATAAGGTAGACATAGCTCACTTACAACGGGTTTTCTCGAGAAACCGGGCTCTGCCGGAGCAGAGTTTCTGAGCCGATGGCTCTTCTTTTCGGAACCGTCAGGCACTCCCGGGCTTCCGCCTCGTGCTAGGGAGTTACCCTAGGCTTTGGGGGTTAGGGAGGCTTAGAGAGAGGTTCCAGAGAGAGAAAGAAGGTTTTGAAGGTGTGAGGAAATGACATGATCGAAACTTCAATTTATAGGCTGGAAAACAACTCTACTCGTCGAGTAGGGGGACCTACTCGTCGAGTCCATGGCTAACTGTCACCATCTGGTGGCTAGCATTGGGGAGAAAGCAAAGGCTGTGATCGCGCCACGTCACCCAAACACGCACAAATCATTCCCGACTTAGAAAAATCATAACTCTCGCATACGATCTTAGACTCCGTTGACTAATTCTCGACCGATCTTAAATTTAACAGTAGGAGGAAATTAGACTATTAAATGACCGCGAACAATTCGTAACTCCTTCATACAGACTCCGTTTCTGTCTGTTTTTTTATCGTTGAGTTCTTATTAATGAGATCTTCAACTCTCATTTAGGTTGCATAGGCCTAAAACTTCTCGAACTAAAATTGAGTTTCGATTCGTGCACTGCTAAGCCAAAACTTAGAAAAATCATAACTTCCTCATACGAAGTCAGATTTGGGTGTTCTTTTTTTGTATGTTCTTGATTTAACGTATACTACAAGTTTTGTTTAGATTACTAAGGCCAAAAGTCACTCTATCGTAAATTTACTATTTACGCTTCTCGGTGTCGTGTCGGTTTTGCTGTAAAACTTCGACGAGTCATAACTTCTTCGTTATAACTCGGATTTCGGCGTTCTTTATATCCACAGAATCGTTGTTTCGACCACTAAAACTTTATGTAAAGATATTGGGCTTATATCACACTTTAATTTTGACACTTATTTTTATTCTTTATTAATTATACTTTTATAATTAAGTATAATAAACATAAATTCACATAATTCACATAATACTCAAATATTTCATCTTTGTTACTTCCAAAAAGAGTTATAATAGTTGATGTAGACTACTACATCATCTACCAATGCTTATTCCCGAAACACGGGCGTTACAGTCTCATGTATTTAGGATTCATGCTAACATAATATCTAGAACAATTAATGTAGGGATGAACATCCGGACTTCTGATAGATATACCATTATGAGTTAAGAATGGATTCATTGCATCAATCACACAAAACAAAAGTTTCTACTACAATTTGGCATTTCTAATTTGTTCAACCAACAAAAAAACCTAAAACCCCCAAATTATGGTGTGTGTGGATCTTCACATGAATATTGATATTTGGAACAATTATGAAACCCTTTATGGAAACATATACGAGGAGGATTGTGACCAAGAAGTTGACAGTCAAGGGATGTTCAACAACAAGTTCATATATAATTGTGGCTAGTACATTTTCTTTCCACCACTACTTTGGGTTAATAAGCCAATATTTAAAGGAAAGAAACATATAAGTCATCAACAACGAAAAAGAAACAAGCATATACCTAAAAGAAAGCTCATGTAGCTCTGCTCTCTTTTGTTGTTGCATATGATAATATAAATATAAGTTAGTCAGCAGCAAAACATATGAACAAATTGACATCAACATTAATATCAAATCAGGTTGAAAAATCATCAAAAGCTATTCATATAAATATATTGAAATCACTTATGAAAAGAAGAGAGACATGATTTTCTCAACCCAACATATCATCTAGATTTAGACATTATGTAGATAGCTTTGTCGATGATCTTAAAAGCGAAGACCAATAACTTATAGACAAAATGTAAAAAACATAGAAAGAGGAGAGGGGTAACTTACAGCGAGAGTTCAATTTTATAGTATGGAAATGTTTGGATTGTTTTTATCTATCTACGAATCAATGGATTGTATGCAAGTAAGGGATAATAAGAACTTGTGCAGTTGTGCACTTGTATGTTACAATCAAGATGGTTTAAAAATATAAAAAAAGACCCAACATGCTGACCAACCATAAAACAGTAAAAGAATTAAGAAATTAGGTAAGATAAAAAGATCGAGGGTTTTTTTAAGCATCAACTTTCCAACTTTTTTATAAAGTTAAGTCTAAAACCTGGATAAACATGCTCCTTGGCAACCACGCGATTCATGATTGTAGATGCATTTGCAGTACCTTAAATACATCGATCATGAAATCTAAAGAGAAATAGGGTTGGTGGCCGAAAGGTGGAAAGAGGGAAGTGGCAAGATGTGTTAACCAAAATAATCTTCTCCTTCGCCTTTCCCTTCCCAGAAGAAAGACTGATCATTGGGAATTCATTTGCCCTACGTCTCTATTATTATTCTTACATCTTCATTGAAGATATTTTAAGGGTTTGCCCCAAATTTTTTGAGAGAAAAATATGGAGAAGATGGAATCACATTTCTACTTTTGAATTCCAAAGTTCACTATCGAAGATATTAACTTGCTTAATTATTGCCTAGTACATCGACTACAATGAATTATTTCCTAAATGAATCCCAAAAAATTAGGGATTGCGCTATTGACTACGAAACAAATTGGATTTCAAATTTAATAAGATATAATTACAAATATATATGGTATAATTGAAAATTAAATTTGAAATTTCTTGATTTACAATATTTTTTTCCGAATTAAAGGGCAAAATAGGGACTTCACTTACAAGTTTTGAGCGGGAAAAATCAAGGAGGAGGCATTAAAGGAATGTCATGTGGCGTTTTTGGTACTGTTTTATTAGAAGAGAATATATATATATATATATATATATATATATATATATATATATATATATATATATATATATATATATATGGTTATGTTCATGTGAGACAGCCTAATTTTGTGAGACCGTGAGACGTAATCCTAGTCATTCATTTGGTAGATAAAACAAATAACATTTTTAAAATGCAAAATAATTGAAAATTTTCAAAAATTTTTTTCAAATATTATTTTTGGAATTTATATTTTCAAAAAAAAAAAAAAAAAACAAAAAAAACCAAAAAAAAAAAAAACATTTTTTACATATTCTAGTAGAATAATAGAATATTTTACGTATTTGAGAAATTTAGTATAATATTCTAACATTCTAAAAATCACATTAGAATATTTACAGTGTAATATTTTATTAGAATATTTCACGTATTTTAAAAAAGCGGTAATTTTTTTAGGTAATTAAAGTTTTGAAAATAATAGTTAAAAAAAGAATTTTTGGATTTTTCGTTTTATTTTGCATTTTAAAATTATCTTTAAATTTGGTCTCACGGTCTCACAAAATTATTATGGTTTAAAATGAACCTGAATTATATATATATATATATATATATATATATATATATATATATATATATATATATATATATATATATATATATATATATATATATATATATGAGGGTTCAATTGAGAAAAAAAAGGTTGAGAATAGGAGAATCATTCTCAGCCAATCATTATTTTTTGCCAAAAAAGTCTCCAACGTACCGGCGAAAATGCGAAAGGAATGCACATGTGTGTTCCAACAAAATATGTTTCCTCAAACTATGCTAAACATTACCTTAATTTATACAAAAACATGGTTTTTTCGTTTTTATTTTTTTATTTTTAAAAAACTATTTTTATCGAAAAATGATTTTAAATATACCAAAATTCATGATTTTTTATTTTCTAGAAATAGACATCCATATTGATATAGTTTTAAGATAAAATATATATATATTTTTTATATTTTTAGCTATCGTTATTCATAAGTGAATAAAAATTAATCATGTTTTTACTACAGTACATTTGTTATTCACTTATGAATAAAACTATGATTATCATTTTTTTTACAATTTAAGTATCATTCATATATGAATATAACATATACTAAACATAGTATATTCATATTTAAATATTAGACGATGCATTCACTTGTGAATATTACATAGTATATTCACTTGTGAATGTTAGATGATATATTAATTTATGAATATTAGATGATATTTTCATATGTGAATATTATATAATATTATATGGTATATCACATGAGAATAATACATAGTATATTCACTTGTGATTATTAGATTGTATATTTACTTATCATTCATGAATAATAGTTTGTATATTCAAATTTGAATATTGCATAGTATATTTATATATAATATAAAATGAACCGGAATATATATATATATATATATATATATATATATATATATATATATATATATATATATATATATATATATATATATATATATATAAAGTGTTGACTGTTGACCCACAACTTCTATCTTGATATTAAGATCTAGACACCTACACTGTACAAGTCAGCAATGGAAAAGCTACTTTCAAGCTGGTCTTCAGCTGCCATACACTTGCCGGAAAACTATGTGTTTCCCGTCCATTCAAGACCTGGAGATGCGACGGTGCCCTTTTGCAACACTCTCCCCATCATCGATCTCAATACTGCATTTGCTGGTGCTCGACAGGATGCAGTGCAACAAGTTCTTGAAGCTTGTCAAGACTTTGGAGTTTTCCAGGTTTACGATCCGACCTCAAAATCTTTCATCTTGTCATCAAGATTCGATTACTTGAATAAAGCCTGTTGCAATGATTTTATGAATATTTTTCTTAGAGCCCTCACAAAAGGATGAGGCCTAATTACACGTTTTCTTGGATCGAAGAGTTTTTGAACCTGATAATGACATCATCCATTAATAGTCCCTAAATGAGCCAAACCTTTTACCAGGGATTTTTTTAGATCAGTTATGGATCATATTTGACCGGGATTAAAGACCCGACCAGATCTTTTTCTTTTCACACTCTTTATGTCTTTTTCCTCATGCTTTTTTCTTTCTGTAGTGTTCATTTTTTGAAATTGAAATGTGAAATATGAAAATAGGTGATAAACCATGGAGTTGATGAAGATCTAGTGATTGACACGATGAGGGTTGTGAAGGAGTTTTTTGACATGCCAAACGAGGACAAGGCTAACGTTTACTCAGAAGATCCAAACAAAAAATGTAGACTCTACACGAGCACTTACGACTATGAGAATGAAAAGGTTCATTTATGGCGAGATAATCTTCGACACCATTGCCATCCTATAGATGAGTTTATTCATTTATGGCCTCAAAAACCAGCTAGATATCGGTAAACTCGTCTTTTCTTTTGCTCATATATCGTTTTAAAGAAAAAAAAAAAGCTAAAGGTGTTTTCAATGTCTATTCTGAAATTGAGTATTATTAAAAACTCAACGGTGATAGAACGTGTTAATGAAGACGTACAAATTTCACATTCTTTTTGATTTAAAAGTTAAAATTCTAATAAATCTTGAATAAAATAATTCCACCATCTTCCATAGCAAAAAACCAGTTCACCATATTTTCTTTTCTGGAACCAGCATGGTTGCATCACAACACACACACCAATGATCATGCAATTCTTATTTATATAAAGAAAGTAGTTTTACAAAGCAAATGGAAGAAGTAATGAAGATAATTACAAGCTAACAATAATTTTTTTATTTATGGGGGAGTGATATATAATGTATTGTTTATGAAAGAGTAATGAAATGTTTTTGAGGAGTATAAAAATTGATAAATCTGTATTTTCTATGTAGTGACAATTTGTTTTAACGAGTATAGGAGTATAAATTTATCCATTTGGCCCTAACCCAAGGCATGATAGAATCATTTGAACATAGATTTTAAGGATTTGATGGAATTCCAATCCATCAATTTGTCACCCAAAGAAGTATTGCATTCCAATTCCTTTATAGAAATCCAAACAATCATGAGATTGCTTTAAATTAACAAACCATGATTTTTCTTTTTGAAGAGATGTTGTAAAGAAATACTCACTTCAAGTGGGTGACTTGTCATCAAGAATATTGGATCTAATATGTGAAGGACTTGGGCTTGGGCCTACGTATTTTGGAGACGGGCTTATCGGGGCCCAATTATTTTCGGCTAATCACTACCCACCATGCCCCAACCCCGACTTGGCATTGGGCTTGCCCAAACATTGTGACGCTAATCTCATCACTTTTCTTTTACAAGATGATATATATGGGCTTCAACTCTATAGAAATGGAGAATGGCTTGGCATTGAACCCATCCCCAATGCCTTTGTTGTTATTCTTGGTCACCAAGCCCAGGTAATTTTTTTCACATTTACCATACAAAATATAATCGATTGTAGTTACATGTATGTGTTGAAACACATGTATACACAAAAAGAAAGGTTTGAGTGATTGCCAATTGTAATGTATTGTATTTTGTTGTTTTAGTATTGAGAAAGGCTTGTCATATTTATTTCTTGTGAAACTTTTGTTAATTGTATTGTAGGTTATTAGCAACGGGAAGTTGACTAGTCCAGAACATAGAGCAGTGACGAACTCAACAGATCATCGGATATCGATTGTCTATTCCATCAATCCAAAACCGGATAGCATCATAGAACCTGCTAAAGTTCTCATCAACGATTCTAATCCACCGCTCTATCAAGCCTTTCAGTTTAAAGAATTTCTTAAAACCTATGAAGTGAAGAAAGATTACAATGAAGGTGCTTTAGAGGATTTTAAGATCAAAGCATGACATGACATGGTTAAAGACTTGCTTATCAACATATATTGTTTTGCGATGTTGTTATAACTTTGACTCATAATCCTTTGAGGGTCAAGCATATTTGAATGTGATATTCCATTTCAAATGCATGAAATTTTGACACGGGTTTACATGGATTATTTGTTTAAACGACAAGATGATATTAGAAAGGAAAACATAAGGCTATCCAGTATGGTTACGCATGAGAGACATGTCACATCATCAAGAAACTCACTCGACCACATACTCACTAGCTTTGGAGGTGGTGTTCACTAGTGGATTTGTAGTGAACAAGAGAGAGAAGAAAGAGAGAGACAAGCACAATCAAGCTCAAATACCTCCGTGACCTTCCGTTGATGCACCCACTCCACAAGATACCCACTATGTCTTAAGGTGGTGTTCACTAGTGGAAACTCCTCCACATAAGATCTACATCAGCTTCACGCGTAGCCACCATAACTTGATACCGTTTAGCCTAACAATAGGAAACTGGCCCAAAAAAGTTTTACAGTTAAAAAGACTAACAAAATAAAAAGAAAAAAAAACACCACCATAGACTCTCCAAAATAGACATTTGACTATTGACGGCAAAAACAATAAGATCAAGTACTTTAAAGCCAATAATAGCACAACTTCAAGAATGTCTCGGTAACAGCGCACAAAAAAATTCCAAAAACCAAAAACCAAAAAAGTGAACCCAATCTCAATTAGTCATTTTTTAGTAAAAAACCGAACTATCCCGATATGTAAAACTGAAGAAAAAATCAACCCATGGAAACGAAACGGGACAACATATGAATATTACGAAATTTAAAATGAATATGTTTTATTTTTATGCTTAGGTTAGGGATTACTAACCCAAAACCCAACAACCCATGGGATGAAACAAAAAACCAAACTGAATTAACCCAATAGGTTTCAAAAGCTGAAAACCGAATCTTTCGGTTTGGCTTTGGTTTTACCTATAACGACACATGTTCAACCCTAAATTACAAAACATAAATTTAAAAAATAAAATAAAATGATACATTACAAAATTACAGGGTGGTTGTATCATTACAAAAGTACAAATCTAGGGATGGTTGATTCGCATGGAATCTATTATAGTTTTTAACAACCATTGTCATTAAGGACACCAATTAACTAGCATCCAACCAACATGTCAACAAAAAATATGTGTTAATCCACAATTTAAACCTTGAAAATGAAGCATTGAAACTCTAGATGCATGCAAGTTGACCATGGATAAACTCCTCTCAAACTGGTCATCTGCCGTTAAATCTTTACCTCAAAATTATGTTTTGACCATCAATTCAAGACCCGGAGATGCCATGGTATCCTTTGATCGACCTCCAAACTGTACTTGCTTGCGGTCAACACGATGTAGTTAAACAAATTCTTGAAGCTTGTAAAGACTTTGGAATCTTTCAGGTTTAAGTGTAACACTCGTTTCCATGTATTTTCATTTTAACCCTTAGCATTTTAAAATTTTAGCAAATAAGCTCCTTACGTCGGGCGTACCAGCCTTGAATGTCGGGCGTAAGTCATGATAAGGATCGAGGTGGTAGAGGAGTACGTTGGGCGTACATATGGGTATGCCGGGTGTACCTTTGCAACTTCTAAAACCTTAAAATTTAGGGTTATGTCCCCTATTTAAACATCTTAATCCCCTTGGACCTCCTTATGACTAGCCTCCATTTCTTTCAAACCCTAAAATCAAAACCTTGGCCCTTGTAAGTGATATTTGAAGCTTAAGAGTGATCCTTGATTATTCTTAATAGAGAAGGAAAATCATTCAAGAGGTGGTGGTTCATTCTAGCCTTTAGATCCAAAATCTACATCTCCTTATTCACCTTTTGAAGGTATTGATGGGTTTCAAGCAAAACATCATTCTTATAGTATACATGCAAACCCTAATAGCTTTTGGATCTAATTTGTCTAATGAACATGCAATTGATTATCCAAAGCTATAAACCCTAGATCTAATGAACTATAACAGAATTTAGTGTTTAGAACATACATTTGATTGTTATATAGAAATAACAATCAATTCCTTGCTTTAATTGGCCTTAGAAAGCTTAGTGCCTCAAGTGTTGCACCTCTAATGGAGTCACAAACACCACTAAGCAATTAGGATGAAGAGAGAGGAGGGAAGAGGCACCAAAAACGGCTGAAACCCTAAGGGAAGTGTTCTTTTTGTTTTTGGGGCTTAGGGGCTCTTTAAATACATGTCGGCTATTAGGGTTAGCAACTAGGAAACCCTAATTTGACTGCTTAAGCCCTAAGCAGTCCATGGACTCCTTTAACATATCCCTTGGACGAATTCGTTATGGGCTTCCCATAGAATTCGTCCAACCTATATATTGCTATGGTGAAGGCAACCCAAAAGGACCATGCTCATAATCGGGTTAAGTACATACTAAAATAGTTATGGACTTAGACACTAATCCAGCAGTCTACCACTTGGATAAGTCTAATAACTGTTTTGTATAACTTCAGAACCTGATCAACAATCGTAGCTTTCAAAAGCCACTGTCAACTCTGATATTATCAGATACGCGTGTCCTTTAGATAAGAGATCATATATTTCTTCATTCTTGATATCATATAGACTGAGACATGGATTATAATCATTCTCACTGTGTATAAGTTGTTTCCCGACTTCCGATTTATGACGACTAACAACAGACTACAATTAAACACATCAACTTAGTCCCGGCTTGGCCAAGCACTTAGGTGTCATCACTAAATCATCAAGGGACCCACAAATATCACTTTTATCCCACTTTGGGTAAAAGGAACAGCTAAACTTCGACTCAAATACTCACTTGCACTTACTCATCGAATCACACACACCAATAAGTTTTATAACACCAAGTTACTGATGCGTTTACGTATTATCAATGTGCAACCGATTAGCAAGTAACAACTCACACGTCTCGGTTTCAAGAATATGAGATGTTATCGTCTCACAATTACTCGTGATTAAAATCCATGAAGTGATTCACGTGAGCGTGGGTTTAATCCAATGCTCAAATCTTATTCATAAGTATTCATGAACGTTGCAACAAAGCTTTGCTTATGTCTAATACACTTTAGAAAATCCACACACCAATTCATGACAGTCTTCCTTCATACTTACTCCCAACGTATAACCGACTGTATAAATTTGAATAACCTAGTTATTCTGGAAGTCAAAACATGCAAAGTGAAACACAATAATAATACTCAATCCTATATGGTCCCAAACTTTTGAGCGTAAATAAAACATTTTTATCTAAACACCATATTGATTACTAATTATTCATTGTTTAATGTTTCGGAAAAACAACTTTGTACTTGAATTATAACCACAATTGTCCCATGCTCCAAGCATGCACCCTTTGGTTTTCTTATGGTCCTTACTTTGTGAAATAGATCAATTGAGAAAACATTTCCAATGAAACTAATTTCACAATTCCCAATCCTTATCATTAGTGTAAGAATACCAAATTCTTGCCACTTTTAGATTCTAACATTTTATGCAACGATCTTTTGTAATGTCACAGCACAAAGTCACCAAGACTCGACCAATGAAATTCCAAAGTACTCTATTGGAGATTGTTACAAGACAATCTTATAGATATGATGTTTCTCACTCGAAGTACATTCCTTCGAACATCCTTCTTGCATAAAAGTTTCTAATCTAGACTTGAATTCTTAATTTCCAATTCTCCAATTATGGAAACATTTCCATATTTTCCATGTGACAACTCATTGTAAATAGAATCTTATCTATTCATAACAACGTCAACATGATCCTTCCTTTACTATACTTCCAACTACTCAAAAGCGACGAATCATCAGTGAACCTCAGATTGTCCTTTGACAGTTGTTCAATTAATTAGTCAAATCCGGTTCTAGATCTTTTTCCCTCTTAATGCCCTAGGCATTTGGAATTTTTTTTAGAACGGTCAAATATTACGGCATATGCAATCGATCCTATACCCGAAGTGTATGAGATACAATGCATAATCTCTAACATAAAGACATGATACTTTATCAGTCTTCTTCTATAATATTTTATGTGTCGTGTTCTCACAATTCGAACTATGAAGAGGGATGCCATAATCATAATCGAATTTGAGAATGCACTTATCCTTTCCATATATAGAATTTCCTCATGTTGAACCATTTCAACACAACATTCATATATAGTTGACTATATTTGATTAAAATTCCACAATCTAAACCTTTAGATTTGAAATGAAGTATAATACTCTCTCCCTTAATTATAGCAAAACTACTTTTCAACCCTTACAACTTCGCAAAGTGAATCTTTGTTTTCTATAATTAATATTGCTAACTCGCAATACTTGAAATAATAATCATGCTCCCACTAACACAATAATTATTATCACACAAGCATAATACTTATGCTCCCACTAGCTTTGATATGTATTCAGAAAACAACTGAACTTCTAGAAAATAATGCTTATTGAATCCTTACGTTCATATTTATAATATGTGATGCTTTGATAAACCTTTATCTAAGCTTCTTAAACTCATACACATTTTCCTTAGAAAGCTCATATGTGTGTCTAAAGAAATTCAGAACTCGTGTTACTGAGTCCCAAATGTTCAGACCAATCGCCAAATCTCATAATTCGAACTATGAAAAGGGATGCCATAATCATAATTGAATTTGAGAATACAATTTTTCACAATTACAATCTTCTTAAAATCTCTCTTAGTGAAAACATTTCCTCACAATCATTTTCATGAAGGAGAGAAACCTTATGACACTTAAATTTTAGAGTGTATGTGTTTCTATCCATGTGAATTTGTCACAAAAATAATCATAAGACAATGTTTGTGACAAATCTAACTCATATGGATTGAACTTTTTCAGTCTTAATTTCCTTGCCTAAGACAATGTTTGTGACAAATCTAACTCATATGGATTGAACTTTTTCAGTCTTAATTTCCTTGCCTCATGGCAGCACGAATACCCACCATGTCTTCCAAGTTATCAAGCACCTCACCCTTACCTGTCAATGTACTTTCTATTGATCAGGGTGCCTTGCCATTATGCAATCCAATTGAGAACTCATAGAACTCATATTTCATAGTTGCTTTAATCTGGAA